TAAGCTTTGCATTTACCCCTTCCTGAGTTTCATCTATCAACACTATATCGTCTGCGAAAAGCATACACTAAGGAATATCATCTTGAATATGTCCTGTTAACTCATCCATTACCAACGCAAAAAGGTAAGGACTTAAGGATGAGCCTTGATGTAATCCTACAGTTATGGGAAAGCTTTCGGTTTGTCCTTCATGAGTTCTTACGGCAGTCTTTGCTCCTTCATACATATCCTTTATAGCTTGGATATATGCTACTCGTACTCATTTCTTCTGTAAAATCCTTCAAAGAATGTCTCTTGGGACCCTATCATACGCTTTTTCCAAATCTATAAAGACCATGTGTAAATCCTTTTTCCCATCTCTATATCTTTCCATCAATCTTCGTAAGAGATAGATTGCCTCCATGGTTGAGCGCCCTGGCATGAACCCGAATTGGTTGTCCGAAACCCGTGTCTCTTGCCTCAATCTATGCTCAATGACTCTCTCCCAGAGCTTCATTGTATGACTCATTAGCTTAATACCCCTATAGTTCATGCAATTTTGTACGTCGCCCTTATTCTTGTAGATAGGCACCAAAGTGCTCGTTCGCCACTCATTTGGCATCTTCTTCGTTTTCAAATCCTATTGAAAAGGTCAGTGAGCCATGTTATACCTGTCTCTCCCAAAACTTTCCACACTTCGATTGGTTTATCGTCTGGGCCTACTGCTTTTCTATGCTTCATCTTCTTCAAAGCTACAACCACTTCTTCCTTCCGGATTCGACGATAAAAAGAGTAGTTTCTACACTCTTCTGAGTTACTCAACTCCCCTAAAGAAGCACTCCTTTCATGTCCTTCATTGAAAAGATTATGAAAATAACCTTTCCATCTATCTTTAACCGCGTTCTCTGTAGCAAGAACCTTTCCATCCTCATCCTTGATGCACCTCACTTGGTTTAGGTCCCTTGTCTTCTTTTCCCTTGCTCTAGCTAGTTTATAGATATCCAACTCTCCTTCTCTCATAGCTTTCTTCGCCTCTTGCTTCGCTTTTCTATACCTTTCACCATTTTCATCGGTCCTATCCTTGTATAAGGCTTTACAACATTCCTTCTTAGCCTTCACCTTTGTTTGTACCTCCTCATTCCACCACCAAGATTCCTTTTGGTGTGTGGCAAAGCCCTTGGACTCTCCTAACACCTCTTTTGCTACTTTTCGGATACAACTAGCCATGGAATCCCACATTTGGCTAGCTTCCCCCTCTTTATCCCACACACACACTGGGTGATTACTTTCTCTTTGAAAATGACTTGTTTTTCTTCTTTTAGATTCCACCATCTAGTCCTTGGGCACTTCCAAGTCTTATTCTTTTTTCTCACTCTTTTGATATGTACATCCATCACCAACAAGCGATGTTGATTAGCCACGCTCTCTCCTGGTATAACTTTGCAATCCTTACAAGTTATACGATCCCCTTTCCTCATTAGAAGAAAATCTATTTGTGTTTTTTACGACCCACTCTTGTAGGTGATCACATGTTCTTCTCTCTTCTTAAAGAAGGTGTTGGCTAAGAAGAGATCATATGCCATTGCAAAATCCAAGATAGCTTCCCCATCCTCGTTTCTCTCCCCAAAACCATGACCACCATGAAAACCTCCATAGTTGCCTGTCGCCCTGCCCACGTGTCCATTTAAATCTCCTCATATAAATAACTTCTCCGTATGAGCAATTCCTTGCACCAAGTCTCCAAGGTCTTCCCAAAATTTCTCATTCGAACTTATATCCAACCCTACTTGAGGTGCGTACGCACTAATCACATTGATAAGTTCTGGTCCTATTACAATCTTGATTGCCATGATTCTATCTCCTACCCTCTTGACATCTACAACATCTTGTGTCAAGGTCTTGTCCACGATGATGCCAACACCGTTTCTCGTTCTATTTGTGCCCGAGTACCAAAGTTTAAACCCTGAGTTTTCTAGATCCTTTGCCTTAAGACCAACCCACTTAGTTTCTTGTAGGCACATAATATTTATCCTTCTCCTCACCATAACTTCCACTACTTCCATAGATTTTCCCGTTAAGGTTCCTATATTCCACGTTCCTAAACGCATTCTACTCTCCTGAACTCTACCCTTCTGTCCTAGCTTCTTCACCCTCCCCCGTCCAATGGAATCAAAGTACTTCTTTTGTGTGTCCCGTGTAAAGTTGATAGGTGCATATGCTCCCAAACAACTTTGAGTGGAGTCGTTCGAAAAGAAGTTTCTATGGCCCCCTTGCTCATTTAACACTGCATCCGAGTGCCTATGGAGATACAGCAACCCTTGCTCACTTATCACTGTGCTTGGGCCACACAGCGCGCCACTTACGGGTGACACCTTAGCTTTAGCGCGATTTCGTTCTGAATTCATTTTCATAAGGATTCGACGTAACTGTGGAGTGCCGGCTGTCGACTACCTGACGCCCTCCCCCTCCTCCTTTACCCAGGCTTGGGACCGGCAATGTAAGATAGTACACTTCAACTGAATTTCTAAAATCTTGTGAACAGTGAAGACATAGGTCTTGAAGGGCAATTGACTATTGTCTACTCTCCATAGTAGAATATAGTAGCACAAAGGAATAACAGAACTATTGTTGAGATGACAAAGAGCATGTTACATGAGAAAAAGTTGTCTTACTATCTTGAGGGGTAAAATTGTCAACACAGCTATCTATTTGCTCAGAAAATGTCCTACAAAGGGAGTAAAGGATAAACTCATTTTGAAGCATTCAGTGGAAGAAAACCTAGAGTTAAACATCTCAAAAATTTTGGATGTGTATGTTATAGTCACATTCATGAACAATTGAGACTCAAGTTAGATGAAGCTTCAATCAAGAGGATCTTTGTTGGTTATGGAAAGGGAAAAAAAATGCTATAGAGTGTTATTCTTGACACAAAGAAGATTATACTTTCTAGAAGTCTGTTTCTTGATGAAAATGAAAATTGGAATTAGACAACTGAAAATGAAGTAACGAAGTCAATTCTAATGAACTTGCAGTTAAATGAGAATTTTAGTGAACCTAAAAATGGTGAGGTGAATGTGACTGCAGAATTACCACAATTAGAAGGGTGCTATTCTCAAAGGGGAATGTTTCAAGATTCTGTGACAGAGATTGGAGAACTAAGTTTTGCAAGCATTACTTCTGTAAAGTTAGAACCACTAGTAATGTGTATGCTAGACGCAATCTTAGCATAATTGAACCTATATGAAGAGGCTACTTCTGATTATGCTTGGAAGAAAGCTATGGATGTAGAAATTGAGATGATTGTGAAGAATCAAACATGGAGTTGGTTGACAGACCAACAGATAAACAAATTTATTGGTTTCAAATGGGGTTTCAAGACTAAATTGAACCTAGATGACACTATACAAAGCACAAGGCAATATTGGTTACTAAGGGGTATTCTTAGAAGCCTGGAGTAGACTACATTGAAACATTTGTTCTAGTTGCAAGATTGGACACCATAAAAAATTTCATTGCACTTGCTGCTCAGAAAAGTTAAAGGTACATCAAATTGATGTGAAGTCAGCTTTCTTGAATGAAGTATTGAATGATGAAGTATATGTGGATCAACTTGAGGGTCGTAGTGTTCCAGGTTTTGAAGATAAAGTATATAAGCTCATAAAAGCTCTATATGGACTAAAAAAGCTCAAAAGCTTGGTACAAGGAAATCAACTCTTATCTGCTTGAATATGGTTTTCAATTAAGTCCCAGTGAAGCTACATTGTATATCAAGACCAAAAGGGGAGAATCACTCATTGTCTCTATTTATGTTCATGATCTTGTGCAATGGTAATAGAATAACATTGATAAATGAATTAAGGCTGACATGATGAGAAAGTATGAATGACAGACCTTGGACTATTATATCACTTTTTGGGAATGGAAATTCTGCAATTTGAGAAAGGTATTTTATCTGTTCTAGCTTTACTGGAAAAGTTTGTCTTGAAATATTGTAAGCCTGTGAGCATTCCTCTTGCAATGAATGACAAGCTAAAGAAGGATAATGGTAGTGAGCATGCAAATGAAGCTATGTCTAGACAATTTGTGGGAAGCTTATTATATTTGATAGCAACAAGGCCTAGCATTGTGTTTGCTACTAGTCTATTATCCAAATTCATGCACAGTCCAACCAAGAAGCACCTTGGAACTGGAAAGAGAGTACTCAAGTATATCCACTAGACTCTTGATTTTGGAATTGGATATGTGAAAAGAATGTTGCAGTTTTACTTGGCTATATGACAACGATTGGGGTGGTGAGGAAAGTGATATGAAAAACGGACTTTGGATATGCTTTTTCATTTGGTAGTGTCATTTTTTATGGGCATCTGTGAAGCAACATTGTTGCATTATCTACTGCTGAAGTTGAGTATGTTAGTACTTCAGAGGCTACAACTCAAGCAGTTTGGCTAAGATTTGTGCTTGAAGATTTAAAGAAATACAAATTGATGTTATTCGACTTTATTGTGATAACACCTCTGCGGTTGCTATGACAAGAAATCCAATTTTTTACTAAAGATCAAAGCATATCAACTGCATATATCACTACATCAATATGCACTGCCAGAGAACATAATTTAGCTAATCTATTGCAAATCAGAAGGCCAATTAGCTGACATATTTACCAAAACTTTTCCAAATGATCGTTTTTGTTATCTGAGAGGTTTACTAGGAGTGAAATTAGCAACAAGCTTAGAAGGGAGTGTTAAGGTGTAAGCTTGTTGCAGATCAACAAAGTTCAAATTCAGCATTTTTTTTTTTTGTTCTTCATTTCTGTTTATGTTTAAGTGTTTTGTTTTAGTTGCAATGTTCGGCTAGGATTAGAACATCTTAAGAGCTTGTATTAGGCTAGCAATTATAGCAGATGTGTAGAGTAAGTGATGCATGTGCAGAGCACGTGAGTCTGTTTTTAGAGAGTGACTCGTGTACGTTGACTTTTCCTTTGTTTTTGGATCCAGTATGTACTGTTGAATGTATGAATGAAATTGAGCCATGAACTCCACCCTTCTTCTTCCTCAAACTCAGATAGCTTAAACAATTTTCTTTCTCCAAAATTGAATAAAATTCAAAGAAATACAATTCAATTCATTTAATAAACACTAACACAAAGAGGGACTTGCCTGCAACGAAGATATAATAGCCCTTATGTGTCTTTCTCACTCCGCATTATCTTTAATCATATGAAAAGTGAGAAAGACACATAAGGGGATACCACAAAAGGGTCTATCCTCACTGTAAGCAAGTCTTTGTTGTGATTAAGACGCAGAAAAAGCTATATTCATGTTGCTGGCAAGTCCCTCTTCGTCGTTAGGTCACAAAAGTTACATTGCCGTTGCAAGCAAGTCCCTCTACAAAAGTTACATCACTGTTGCAAGCCAGTCCCTCAAATAATGTTGATTTACCTCAGTAGCCGCACAAGAATAACAACAGGAGCAATATGAAGGATTCCAGAAATTAAAGAAAAAAAATGTTCGATTAGTGAGAAAGTGAAAAGACTAATAAGTTCTCGTAATCACAGTTAAATTGTCCAACTATATCATTGTTATAAAAATGATGTTCATAGCAATTATGGTGAGACCTTGACGGGGTTTGCTTGCTTTTCATAAGCCTTTTTTACTTCCAGAATTGGAAAACTTCCCTCCTCATACTAGGGGGACAATTGAAAACCTAAAAAGCAATTTCCCTTTTGTCTATACCACTTTGGATGATTATATATATATATATATATATATATATATATATATATATATATATATATATATATATATATAGTGGGAGTGATCAGCCGATTTATGAACAAGCCGAGATCATCTCACTTAGAAGCTTACTCCAGAGGGAACGAATGAGAGATAGGAAGCTCCGACCCAATGAGGGGCCCAGGAAACCCACCTCTTCTTCACCGGATGAGAGGCGCATCAGACTCTGCATCTATATATATATATATATATAACAGTGTTTATCAGAATAAAGAGTATATAATATTAGATTACTTACTGTATTATTTGAAATTTTAGTGAGAGAGAGAGAGAGAGAGAGAGAGAGAGAGAGAGAGAGAGAGAGAGAGAGCAATTGGAAACAAAAACAAAAATTAAAAAAGTACTGAAATTAAAGTTCAATATAATTTGCTATGAATTTTGTTGAAAATAATTGTAGCACTATTTCAAACCTATGAACACCGCACAGAACACATTATCTCTTTATCCTTACAGTTAATAATCTTAATTAGCATTGCAATTTCTTCATCCAATTTGGAAATGCAAAAATATCAAGCTAATTGTTTATTTTTTTATCTAGTCTAACTGACTAACTATATACAGACACACACACACACACATATATATATATATATATATATATATATATATATATATATATATATTATACTTATATAATTAAGAAAATTGCAGCGAAAACGATCACCTGAAGTGGAGCTAATTATTCAGCATTTTCTGAATACATGAATTGGAATGTCCGCATGGTTATGATCTACGGTGACAATCTTCATAGAAGCAATAAGGTGGAGTGGTCATGATGGGGAAGAGGGGCACATGAACAACTAACTCATCACTGGATATGAGATATATATCTGTAAACTTGTAATAATTTAGCAGCTCAGAGAAAAATAAGAGTATTGAGTATATACATCTCAGTATATGCGAATGAGTTAGAAATGCACGTGCCCTGCTTCTCCATCTTGCTCAACTCACGCCTAAATCATATATTCCAGAATTTCCTCAACACTCAACTGAGAGGACGACTCTAGGAGCTGGCCAGCTACTAGATAGAGCTACCCTTCTCATAAACAACCTCATTAAGTTAGAGAGAGAGAGAGAGAGAGAGAGAGAGAGAGAGAGAGAGAGAGAGAGGGATCTTCATCAAAACGGTGAATCTGAGACATTCTTACTTCTCTGTCCTGCTAGTCCACTCATTTATAACAAAACGTGCAAATGAGGTGCGTTAAGAGCACTTCCAGTGTGTAAAAGCTCCCCTTATCAATAGGCAATTCAAATAGTAACTGCTTTTAATGAAGTAATTGCCTTTTGCATCTCCACCTCTAAATATAGTCATGGCAATAGGCAATAAAATATTAGTATTTTTTATGTTCTAAAATAATAAAAATAATTTTATTTTTTAATTTTGGATAGGATTTTTAACCGATCTCGTCACGTCCATGGGTCATTATCTGAAAGTATAGTTTTTGTGGATAGATTTCGATAAGATTTTTAACCAATTATATCGCGCGACGTTTCCTTCCATGTTTAGAATTGTTGAAAATATTGAAATATGGTGTAAGGTGGGAGAAAATGGTAAGGTATTTATAGAAAATAATTATAATTTTTAAATTTTTTTTGAATTTTTTTTCGGATTTTTAATTATTTTTAAAAATTTTATTAACTTAATTAAGCTGAACAATCAGATTACAAAAAAATTTGAAATCCAACAATCCAGATTGTGACATGTGTCCCCTCGAAATATTTTTTTCTTTCTTTTTTTTTATTTTTAAAATTGAAAAAATTTGGACTGTTGATCTGGAAATCAAACGGTCCAAATTCAACTGCTACTTAGTGGGTTGCAACGCGGGCCCCATCGCCCGAATCTTGTAGGTAACTCACCCCCCACACGAGCGTGTTATGCAAATGCCTGACGCAAAAAAAATTATAATGTGGTTGACGTTAGCACCCTCAGGCGTTTGCGCTTTGGACTCCCGCCTGCCCTCTCCCACGGGCTTCCCCTTAGCCTAATTGCCCAAATGGGCTAGAGCTAGTTTGTGAGGGGATTGGATTGCAAATGGGGCTTGTCCACAAGACAAAATAACGCGGTGGAAGTGCTCTAAAGGTGGGCATATGGAGAAACAAGGAAAATAATTGGCTTCTTCTTTTCAATGTAAAGAGTCATTCTTACTTACATGTCAATCACATGACTTCAAAAACAAATTTAAGAAATAAAACAGGAGAATTTTTTTTATTTTTTATAATGCAGGGCCTAGTTGGATGTAAAACCTCATGATGAGTTACGGGTCCAAACAAATTGTGATACCTTGCAACAACAGGACCACATCACCACGATATCATGATATATCACTATTAGCCAATGTCAGAAACTACAATATTATTAGTGTATAAGCATTAACAATTAGAAAATGCTTAGCTACTCAAAGATGAATAGAAACTCTTACTCAAAATTTTCTGTCAAAATCACAGAGTTTTGTACTTATGATCATAACCTTTCATATTATGAATGACTCTGTAAAGATAATCTCTGCAAAAAAAAAAAAAAAAAAAAGACTTAAAACTAAGATCGTTTATAATACTTTTCCCAATTCCACTCGTTTGTTTTTATATAGTTTGATGACTAAACGACCTTGGTTTGAATTGAATTTTTGCAATGACGATCTTTGTAGAGTGATTTATAATATGAATGGTTCTGATCATAAACATGAAGTTCTATGAATCGGCAACGAACAATTTTAAGTAGGAACTCCTACTCATCCTTTAAGTATAGCCAGGTATTATTCTTAACAATTTGTCTAAAAATTGTACGATTGTTGTAAACATTCCTAATTTAATTGTGATTGTGTAAATTCTAGATTATATTTTATTCTAGTTATCATTTCCTATTACAACTTGTATTACTTGGGGAAGAAGTAATATCTTCTCTTCTTTTACTACTATAAATAAAGGCACCATGTCGGAGGGATAACAACACATATTCCCCTACAATTCTACAAACACATCTCTCTCAATCTCTCTCCCTATATCGCCGGCCCCCTTTAACCTTGTTAGATAAAATAGGCTACAACACATTATCAGCATGCTCCTACCACTGCGTTTACGAAAATATAAAGTTGAAGAATTTTTCTGCATCAAACTAGTTCATCCATATCATCACGCAATCAGATTATTCTAAATCAACGATTTTTATCTCAATATTTTTGCAGCCCTGATAACATGAACATTCACCATAATGCATGACCCAACTTTATGTTTTTCGAATTTTAGATTCTACATAAATTGTGTATGCATTATATTCATAATTGTTGAATTATGTGAATTTGATATTTACCATGAATTGCATCAAATATATGTAAATGCATTATACTATTGAATTGAATATGCTTTGAATTAAATTATATATGAATTGAATTGAAAACAAAAAATTTAAAAAAAATCGAAACAGGCAACCTAGTTCTTCAAACCCATGCCTTCGCGCCATTGAACAAAGCTTACAGTTTACGTGGCTAAGCCGTGCCAAGCCGCGAGTTCCCTAGCCGGAGCAAAGGGCTCCAGGATTGAAACCCAACAACCCTGACATTTTCCCCCATCGCAGGTTGGCCTGCAGCCAATCCTTATCCACGGGTCACCATGTTTGACGGCCTAAAGCTCAAATCTCGTCGGAATTTTTTTAAATTTCCAATTTGTATTACTAGGGTTTTGATGAAACGTCGAGATTTTTAAATCTCCGTTCATATTTGAGGTCTTCGTTGACCTATGGACTCGCCCCGAACACCGTTGTCCCAAAGCACGGTAGCCTAAAACGGTGGCATCGACTTTCTTCCTCGACGAACGCACCCAGCTACGGCTGAGGGTGTCTTTGGACCCAACCCGAGCCCTATTAGGCTTCATTTCTCGGCCTACTCCCTAAATTTTTTGGGCTCTTTGTATTGGCCCATAAGTTGTTTGACCGGCCTGCGAAAAAAAAAAAAAAAAAGCAAAAGTTTTTTCTTTGGGCTAGCCTAAAGCAGCCCGCGCAAACATAAGTTTTTTTTTTGTTGGGCTCGCCCAAAGCAGCCCACTACCTAAGCTCGGCCTGTTTTTCTCCCCCCCCCCCGTTTCACTATTTGCACCGCACCCAATATGTGCCCTTTCTATTTGGGCCTGCAGCCTCACCTAAGACCAAACCCAACCCAATTTTTGGGCGTAGGTCCCCACATTTTTTTAAGCCACCTGTGGGTTTATTTTTCTTTTGGGCCTTGAGTTTTATTCGCCTAATTATTTTAAACCAATAGGTTTTATATTTTTTCACCCACACTTTAATTTGGCCCGAAGACCAATTAATTAATTCAATTATAACTATAGACCTAAAGTTCTATTTTTGCATATTCTTGTTGCATATTTCTGTATATATATTTGTGTTTGCCTGTAGGAATTTATGAACCTGAAGTTTCTTATAAACATGCCTTATTTGAAAACCTAAAGTTTTCATTTAAAAACATCACCCATGAAAACTCGAAGTTTTTTCATGCAAAATTAAGCCAATACATGTCTATTAGAACTTGTATGTTCTACTCCTATGTGAATGGATTTATTTTTTCTCCATTTCACTAACCATATCTTATCCATCTATTTTGTGATAGGAACATGTCAAACTTGAACAAACTCGACTTCACCGCTTTAGAGGTCTCTAGAAGAAACTACCTCAAGTTGGTCCAAGATGTGAAGCTCCACCTCACTGCAAAGAATTTGCGTCCCGTTATTGAAGAAGAGACAGACAACCCTGTTGGCGAAGCTGAAAAAGCCACCACTATGATCTTCATCCGAAGACATATCCATGACGCTCTGTAAACTGAATATCTTGCTGAGGGGGATCCACGTGCACTATAGGTCACTTTGGCTGATCGTTTTGATCACCAAAATGACATATTCTTGCCTGAAGCAAGACATGACTGACATCATTTGCGCTTCCAAGACTTTAAGTCTGTGAATGAATATAATTCTAGGGCCGAATTCCACCTAGACATAAACAATTTTAGTTAGTTAAAATTGCACATTGGGGCCGAATTCCACCTAGTGGCTCAACCCCCCTTGTTTTTTGGTTGATTTTTGAACAATTTTCCTTTATGTTTAGATTATTTGTTGGTGATTTGTTTTTTTTTTTTTTTGGATATTAAGTCTTAATAATTACCATCCTTGAATAAATAAAATTATTTTGAATTCATATTTTTTTTAGAACTTTTATGCATGTGACCGATTCAAATTAATTTTTCATTCTAAGTATGACTAGTGGGAAAGTTAGTTGTCTGGCAGATAGTGCAACCACACACACAATTTTCCATGAACGCATCTATTTCACTAACTTCATACCTAAGAATGCACCGCTAACAATCCTCTCAAGCCCATCCAACTTGGTAGAAGGATACGGTAAGGCACGTATAATGTTGTCTAATGGTACAATCTTAACCATTTCTGAGTCACTCTATTCTCCACGTTCCGGAAGAACATTGTTAAGTTTTAAGGACATTAGAGATAACAATTACCATGTTGAAACCCACGTAGAAAACGGAGTTGAATTTCTGTGCATAACTTCATACGAATATGGCTAGAAGCGTATTCTAGAGAAGATTGAGCGTATCCCGAGTGGTCTGTATACTACGACCATACACCCCATAAAATGCCACTATGTGGCCGGCCCTACTACTAGGACCGCACATAAAATTACTCTTTGGCATGATCATTTGGGACATCCTGGATGAATAGAGATGCGTCGTATCCTCAAATCTTCACACGGGCATCCACTAACCCGAAGTTTAGGTTCAATCCAAGGAATTGCATGTCAAACATGTTCAATGGGAAAGCTTATCACCAATCCTTCTTATGACAAGATTCGTTCGAATCCTCCCTTTTTTCTACAACGGATTCAAGGGAACATTTGTGCACCGATTCACCCTTCATGCGGACCATTTAGATACTTTATGGTTTTGGTTGACGTTTCCACACGTTGGTCACACGTGTGCTTGTTGTCCATAAGGAATGCTGCATTTTCCAAACTGTTGGCTCAGGTTATCAAGCTCATGGCCTACCACCCTAATTATCCGATCAAATCTATTCGATTGGATAATGCTGGAGAATTCACTTCTAAAACTATTGATGACTATTGCATGTCGGTTGGGGTTGAAGTTGAACATCATGTATCCCTTGTTCATAT